GTGGTGAGCACCTTTGTGATGGAATACTTGACTAGCGTGGTCCTACTATGTTAGATTCTGAATATGTCTTAGTTATTCTTTTGCTGTGAAGTGACACCATGATCATCCAGCTCATATAATTGGAGGTTTGCATAGTTTCAGAGGCATAGTCCATTAATGTGTGGTAAGGGATCATGAAGGCATGGTGCTAGAAAAGTAGCTGAGAGCTTTACTTCCTGATCTGCAGGCAGCAGGCAGAGAGATGCTGGGCCTGGTGTGGACATTTAAAACCACAGAGCCCACTCCCCCAGGAACACACCTTCTCCAACAAGGCCACACTTGTTTTTGTTTTTCAAGACAGGGTTTCTCTGGGTATTACTTTGTAGGCAGAGATCCACCTGCAGCTTTCTCCCTAATCCTGGGATTAAAGGTGTGCCCCACCACACCTGGTAAGGCCACACTTCTTAATCTTTCAAAGCAGTTTATCAATTGGAGACTAAACAGGAAAATATATGAGCCTATGGGTCATTATCATTCAAAACACACAATAGACATATTAAAAAGTCCAATAATTAGGGTTGGTGATAGAATGAAAATAATCTTTAAAGTCAGACTTTAGTAACCTTGCTGACTGACCTGGTACAAGTTTTTTTGGTGTCAATTTCCCCATCCATAAAGTTAAGAATCAGGCATGCTTATTCACGTCTTTCATGTCAGAACTCTAAGCAGATAAGCAGCTAGACCTTGAATTGGAGGCTCCACCCATCTACTTATCAAGTTCCTGCATAGCCAGGCCTACTTAGAGACCCTGTCTCAAACTAGAATACTGACAAAACTCCAGAGCTATAAGCTTTAAGAAGTATAATTTAATATAATGGGGACTCATACAGTAGTATAAGCTTACCAGAGGGAAAAAACAGCCTTTCCTAAGTTTTGTTTTGTTTTTTTTTTTCAACATGAGAAGGAAGTTTTATTGGGAAAAGGGGGTGGGGGAAGGGAGGGGAGACAGAGATACAGACTTTTTTAAAAACAGTATATAGCTTTTTTGTTGTATGTTCTTAGAAGAAATACTAAGTCTTTGAGACACAACATGCTTTTATTTGTCCAAACATGAGAAATAACAAACCTTAAGGATAAGTTAGGCTTACGTAGGATTAACTATTATTACATACTACATTGAAGAAATTACAAGTTGGGTTGATAATTTCCTCAAATTATATTTACTTTTCTTTTTTGTTTTTTCAAGGCAGGGTTCCTCTGTGTAGCTTTTTTTCAATTTAGGGATTGCCTGTTGTTTTATTGTAGTTCCTCAGAAACTCAAATGGTGACATCCAAAACGTTTACTTTGAGGCTTAAAGATTCCTGTGTAGAACTCAAAACTGAGCAAAACAGCAAGTCAGAGGTTTAAGTAAAAGATGCAGCTTGATTGACATGTATGAGGTTAGATCTCTAGCCTAACAAGAAAAAAAGACTTGAGTGGAGCTTTGCTTTTAACTTGAGACTTCATGTTGAAGAAACTGAAGACAAAGATTTAGGAATTTATCCAAGCACATTACATTAGGGAAATAATAAATTTTAAAAGATTATTATTTTGGTTTTTTGAATCAGGGTTTCTGTATGAAACTACCCTAGGTGTCCTGGAACTAGCTCTGTAGACCAGGTTGGCCTTTGCCTCCCAAATGTGAGACTAAAGGTGTGAGCCATCACTGCCTGGCCAAAAATTATTTTTATAGTCCTGATGGCACACACTTTAATCCCAGCACTTGAAAGGCAGAGGCAAGTGGTTCTGAATGAGTTCAAGGCCAGCCTGGTGTACAAAGGCTGCATAAACCACAGCTAAATAGAAAAACTAGGATGTCTCAAACCAAAAAATAATTATTTTTGTGTTCTGTATGTTATGTGCATATAAGTACCCACAGAAGCCAGAACAGGGGGTTCCTCAGGAGCTGGAGTTACAGGTAGATAGGAGCTGTGTGGTGTGCAATCTGGGAACTGAACTCTGCAAAAGTGTTAAGGTCCCGTAATTTATAAACCATCTTCCAGCACCAATAGAATTTAAAAAAAATATGTATATTTGCTGTTCTGTAATTCCATGTGTTTTGTTCTTGTTTCTAGTGGGATGAAGCGCTCCTGACTATGAGTAAAGGAGAAAAGGCTCGACTGGAGATTGAACCAGAATGGGCCTATGGAAAGAAAGGACAGCCTGATGCCAAGTATCCTTTTTCCTTTATTACACACCCCAACACAAGACCCCCACATATTTAAGATCTGGGCCAGTGAGATAGATAGCTCAGCTTGTAAGGTCTTTGCCACCAGTCTTGTAACCTGAATCAGACTCTTGGAACCTACTTGCACACTGTGGTATGTGTTCACACACATGCACATAAATGAAGTAGCCTTTTTTGGAGATGTGAAAGATGCTGTGGAAATAAGCTGTCAAATCAAGAATCATTTCTGTATAGCTTTCCTGATTAGGCAGTTCTGTCTACTGAGGCCACAGGAATGTCACACTGTCTGGCTGATACTTTCTTCTGATACAAAGTAATCAAACTTTGAACAGATCTTTTTTGTTGTTTTGTTTTTTGTTTGTTTTGTTTTTGTTTTTGGAGACAGGGTTTCTCTGTGTAGCTTTGGAGCCTATCCTGGCACTCGCTCTGTAGACCAGGCTGGCCTCGAACTCAGAGAGATCCGCCTGCTCTGCCTCCCGAGGGCTGGGAGTGTGCCTGGCTGTACAGATCTGCCTTTTTTTTGAGATGAGTCTTACTATGTATCCTTGCCAGGTTGGAACTGTACAGACAAGTCTTGAATCATGTCTGCTTCCAAAAGTCCTGGGGATTAAAAGTGCACACCATATTAACAACTAACACTAATTAGAGTTTTTAAATTTTCAGCTTTGTTTTTTCTTTTTTAAAGATTTATTTATTGTGTATACAGTTCTGGCATGTACATGCCAGAAGAGGGCACCAAGTTTCATTATAGATGGTTGTGAGTCACCATGTGGTTGCTGGGAATTAAACTCAGGAGCTCTGGAAGAGCAGCCAGCACTCTTAACCGATGAGCCATCTCTCCAGCCCAAATTCCAACTTTCATCTTTTAAAGGTAAATTTATCCCTTTTTTGGAGAAAGTGTCTTCTGTAGCTCTGGCTAACCTTAAATTTCTAATCCTCCAGATGCAAGGGTCTTTTTTTTTCTTTTAAGAGATTTTATTTATTTATTATGTATACATCATTATGCTTCCATGTATATCTGCACACCAGAAGAGGTCACCAGATCTCATAATGGATGGTTGTGAGCCACCGTGAGGTTGCTGGGAATTGAACTCAGGACCTCTGGAAGAGTCGGTGCTCTTAACCTCTGAGCCATCTCTCCAGCCACACAAGGGTCATATTTATGGGTCAGTTTTGTGCCACAGTATCATTTAATTGAGTGAGAATTCAAAGTTTAGAAATCAAATGAACAAATAATAGTTACCACATGTAAAATGAAGACTACAAGACAAATGTTAATAAGCATTTATTAATAATTACAGTACTTCTATGACAAACTGGTTTGTCAGCATTTACAAAAAGCAGAAAGGCAATGATTCTAGACCATTTAGACTTTTAACAGTTAAGTGAAAAGTAATTATTAGCTGTTGTTTCTACACTTGTTGGCCAAATTAGTATTGATAGTACAATTTGTGGGTGATAGGGAGGGAAATTTATATTGGTAATCCTCTCTAGTCTTAAAATTTTAAATTCACATATAGAGCAAGTTCCAGGACAGGCTCCAAAGCTACAGAGAAACCCTGTCTCATTTTCTAACAAAACAGCTAGCTCTCAGCTTCATCTCATGTGAAAGCATTGTTTGAAACCATTACTTTTTTTTTTTTACTTTTTTTTTTTTTTGGAGATGGTTTCTCTGTGTAGCCCTGGCTACCCTGGAACTGCCTGCCTCTGCCTCCCAGTGCTGGCATTAAAGTTGTGTGCCAAGGAGCACTCCTGAACTTAGCTTTAAATTCACAGTGGCGCCATGCTCTGCCTCATACAAATGTTGATACACTTAGATGTGTTAAATACTATTTGGTAGCATTAGTGAGGCATTTTGATAAGAATACTTGTTGAAACTCAACTTTTATGGTTTCTATTGATCACTTAGGAAACTTTAGCCTCTGAATCAAATACATATCTTTTCCTCTTAAATTTATTGGAACAAGATAAGAATACTTGTTGAAACTCAACTTTTATGGTTTCTATTGATCACTTTACATATCTTTTCCTCTTAAATTTATTGGAACAGCCTCCCTGGGCTATCTTTGAACTAATTCTGTCTGTAGCACACAAATATTGGGACCAAAACCAACACTCTTCTTTTTGAGTTTAAATTACTAGTAGCCAAATTTATAGTGTCTGGGGGAGAGGCACTTTTCATCAAATTTACCTTGACCATTTCTCACAGAATTCCACCAAATACCAAACTCATTTTTGAAGTGGAATTAGTAGATATTGACTGAAACCAGTGCATCAGCTCTGAAGACATCAACAACAATAAAAACTTGGCCTTGAAACTTAATGTGACTAATTAGAGCTTGTTACTATTTTAAGGGAAGAGTGGACTGGAAAATTCAAGGAGTTAAAGCTTGTTTACTTGATCTCAATTTTTGAGAAATGTAATCCCCTGGGAGCCCTTTTAAGTTTCATATTTTACTATAGCTGTGTAAAGTATTAAAGAGAACTGCGTTTCCTTTTACCTCATGTAATAAACTACAAGGCTCAATAAAAATGTCATGGATTATCTTGACTCGACTGAGTTATTCTGTGTTGCTGTATTAATGTTCAGATTAGGTAAAATAGGACTCGGGGATTCATCCAAATAGAATGCTAGCTTTCTCTAGGGCGTTTTAAAAATATTACTCTATGGTGAAAGGTTAAGAACATGAAGCAACATCCTGGTAGGTAGATAATAAATTTAGAGAAATCTTACCTCAAAATAATGTTAATCTATATTTTTGGTGTACCTCCCCCAAATGAATTCATAAACAATTGCTGCATGAGTCATTTTTATTACAAAAACGATAACTTTGATCAAAATGAAAGCTTACTCCTCACAAGTTTTACATGAACATTCTAGATACAAAGTTTTCAAAACATACTTTGATATTTCATTTCAAAAGGGGATGTTGACATTATACTTTCTCATTTATAATATTAATAGTTCATCTTTCTTACAATTAGAGCCAAATTTCCAACTATAACTGAAACATATACACAACCTTAGGATTTAAGATTAAAAATCTTTCTTTTAAATCTATTTTATAAGGAGAGAAAATTCTCAATAACCAGCCCTTATTTTTTTTTTCCCAGAATCTTGTAACTGACATGATTTGCAGTCAGTTTTTTCCCCTACACTTAAGGCTACAAATCTTTTGCAGGAGCTGCAATAGAATTCTAGACCACTTAATGAAAATAAAGTAAAAATAAAAAAAATAGTTCTCCAATATAAAGTAAATTTTAAAAATGGTAGGAAAGTTTCTATGGTACACTACTAATTGACATTTTCTACTATTAACTAAACAAATGTTACACAGAAACTGGGAAGACAAATTATCAAATACAACAAGCTTATGCTATGTTTACATCCTTCAAAAAAATAATTCTGAATTTCTCATATAACCAATCTGAAATTTACATTTTTCCATCAGGTTGGAGGTGGAGGATAATACTGTCCATAATTCCAAGGATTCTGATAATTGTACTGAAAAGGTAAAAGTAAAATATGTCAGCATACTAGTATAAAATTAACTTGTGAAATTCCAGTACTAAATCACATAAGGAAATATACAATGTAGAACCACTGCAAAGAATAAATTACGAAGACCTACCTGATACCAAGCACTGTAATTATATGCAGCTTGATTTGCCTGTAAGTCCCCGTCAATGATCTGCGCTGATGACATATCTTCGGTGTGGGCTTTCTTTTCTTCTGGTTCTTCTGAACTATATAAAAGGTCAAAATAGAAACTCAAATTTCCCAGATAGGAACTTTTCTAGATGATTACACTATATACATTTGTTTTAGTTAATGCTTTCAACCATCTTTTGGGAGCAAGGTGCTGTTTGTAAGACTGGGGGAGGGGGGAGCCTAGCTAGACAAACTGATAAATAGACCAAAGGCTAAGTGTGCCCCGTTTACTTTTTGTTACGGAGCAATCTCCAAACTTCTCCATCCTAAGAACTTTACCTACCATTAATACATTCATGAGTTGCCATCTAGAATAACTGCCAAGAGCACAGATGGTACTGATCCCTGTCCTCAAATGACCATTCTAAGTAATGGATTTCAGATTTTTTAACAAGGTAAAACTCCTTCCAATCTGGCCTTTGACTTTATAGCCTTGTTACTCTCCACAAATCTACAGCTCTCCATTTATACAGGGTGAGCTCTTGCTGACAAATTACACCCTCAGTTCTTTCTTTGTGCCAGAGATGGCAAACTGGCCTAAGGTATGGATGTGACCTGTGCTTCATTTGTTAGTCTGGTGTGGTAGTGCATGCCTTTAATCCTAACCAAGTAAGACACAGAAACTGTATACACAATACACATTTCTGCATAATCTGTTAACAGTTAAGCAGTTATGCTGTAGTTGACCAAACATCACAGCATAAACTTACCTCCAATCATTTCTAGCTACACAATCCCATTGTGACTGCCACAAGATTGTGTCATTCCAACTATAAGCATTTCCTTAACTACAATCCCCAAGGTCAGTGGCCAAACTCCAGTCATCCTAATGGCTTTCCAACTCTCAGGTTCCTTAACTACAATCCCCAAGGTCAGTGGCCAAACTCCAGTCATCCTAACTCATCATTTCCAACTCTCAGTTCTCCAGGTTCAATGAAATCCTCATTTTTGTACCTTGGAGAGTGGTAGGCTGAAAGTGGCCTTATTACTTGCTCAGCCATTTTCCCAAGCCATAAAAAGTATGCATTATCACAAAAGTAACACTCAAAAGTGCATGTTTTAAAAAGAATTCTCAATTTCCATATGGAATTTTTTATTCCTTTTAAGCATCCCTTCCCAATTTATCATGAAGTTACATACCCATTTTCAGCTTTCCTTTTTAAGGTATCCTGTTCTTTTAGGAGTGTTTGATGTTCATCATATGCATTCAGAAGCCTGAAGGGGAAGGAAAAGAAAATCCATAGGGATGTATTAAAAAAACAACTTACATCTATTTTTAACTGGAATCATTTTTAAGACTGAAATCTTAGTTCTGATACCCAGATGTTGCATACCTACATGATGTTTCAGGGCCTACATAGTACCTTCTCACTGAACCAGTAATTTGTTTGGATATTACCACCAAATCAAAATGATATTTCATTTAATTCTGTAGGCGCCAATTCTAAGAATTTGCTGTTTAGTGCTGATGGTAGAAGCTCTGAACAATGCAATCAAGATCCTTGTTCTGGACAGGTGTGATATGTATTATTTAAGTTTCTAACACTAACACTTAGGAGGCAGGAAGATCTCTGAATCCAAGGTGAGCTAGGGATACAATTTAAAAAAACAACAGAAAAAAAAAAAAAAAAACCTGGCCTTTGTTCTGGAGAAGTAGGTTCAATGGTTCAGTGCAGTGGTTCTCAACTTTCCTAATGTTTCAACCCTTTAATATGGTTCCTCGTGTTGTGGTGACCCCAAACCATCAAATTCTCATTCTCTCTCTCTCTCTCTCTCTCTCTCTCTCTCCCCCCCCTCCCTCCCTTCCTTCCTCCCTCCCCCCCTTCTCTCTCTCTGGTTTTTCAAGACAGGCTTTCTCTGTATTGTTTTTGGAGGCTGTCCTAGAACTCGATCTATAGACCAGGCTGGCCTCGAACTCACAGAGATCTGCCTGCCTCTGCCTCCGAGTGCTGGGATTAAAGGCGTGCGCCACCAACGCCCAGCCGATCAAATTATTTTCATTGCTACGTCATAACTAATTTTGCTACTGTTATGAATCATAATGTAGATATCTGATATTCAGGATATTTGATATGTAGTCCCTTGAAAGTGGTTGAGAACCACTGGGTCATTGGGTAAAGTACTTAACTACCATGTACAAGGCCCTGAATTCAATACTTAGACTATGGCACATACTATTCCACTCATGCATGTTACATGTATTCTATTTCCATCACTGTGCTTCTCTCTTTCATCAGAATCCAGTAGGAACTAAATGAGAATATCTCTTCTAGGAAGCTTGACAGATAAAGCATATACTATTTCATATACTTTTGTAGAACCCAAGAATCATAATATCCCAATGAAAAGCTGACATTACATAAAGTCAGTCCTTCTATGTACCTTCATTAGTGTAAAACAAGTACTGATTATATAGTATACAAGGTAGTTAAGAGCGGAAACTATGAAATAGGGTCTAATTCCATACTCATAATACATGACTTGAAAAATTTAGGTATCTGAGTGAGCCTCTCTCCATCAGCTAAAGTAACAGTACCTGTCTTCATTTAAATGGCTATAAATCTTATACTACATAAATATAAAATACTTAGTATGATTTGACTAGTTGAACTGAAAACACTAGCTGCTGTGTCAAGATGAAAACTTACATACCATCAAAAACAAGCACATGCATATAGACACTCAAGTTTCTAATGGTTTCAGTGGAAATCACTGTAAATCATTATCAGCAAAGGCATATACATGCCTATTAGGCACTGGGATATTTACTTACTAGCAAGAGAGAAAGATGGGAACTTTACCAATGTTGTAGGTAGTATTTCTACTTTCAGGGTTATCAGATTTAAATCTTAAGTTTAGATTTTGCCCTCTAATCTATTGCAAATGCTTACATCATCCTCAACTTTTATGATTCAGGAGGATGAGTCCAATAAAAAGATGAGTGTGACCACATCTACCTTCTTTTTCAAGCTGAGACAAAATGGCATTCCTTTTCCACCTAGTCCTATCCTAGCTCTGTGCACATTGCTGAGGACTGAACTCAGGGTCTTGTACATGACAGACACATATTCTACCACTGAGCTTTACATCAACTACAGCCAACCCACATTCCTACCTTCATGTCTCTCGTAGTTCAGTTTTTATCATTTTTGTGAGGCCCACATGGTGGAAGGAGAGAACTGACTGCTACAAATTGTCTTCTGACCTCCATATGTGCACCATGGCATATACACACACAAAATAGTTTTGAAGGGATGATAAAGCTTAAGTCCTATTAAGCATACACCCATTTACAAAACTGAATTTACCTCCACATGTCTCTAAAGGAAAAGTAGCCTTAAAAAACATTTTAAAATTTACCATTAGCTCCAACAAGGTTCTTTAGTACATAACACCTGCTCTAGGCAAGCCTGATGATCTGAGTCTGATCCCTAGCGCCCATGAAAAGGTAGGAAAAACCCCATGAAGTTGTTTTCTGATCTCCTCATATACATCTTGTAACACATGAACCCTCTCCCATTCATATACATCATACACATGATAAAAACTTTTAAATGAACTTAGCAATATATAAATTAGCCACAAATTCTCATCACAAAATAACAATGCTCATGTTCCATTCAAAAAGATGATGGATTTAAGATCTTACTTATTAACATCTGAACCAAAATCTTCAAGGAATTCCACCTTTCTTTGAGAAAATGTAATTCTCATTTTAATAGGCAATGAACCATGTATGGCTTTGTCAAAGCAATTGAGGATATTTTCTTCATTTTGTTTGAGGTCACAACTGTATTCCATTTCAAGTAAATTGAGGTATAACTTTGTGTTCTCCTAAGTAAAAAGAAGTATCAATTAGTAACATTACTACAATTAGTAATATTCCTACAAAAGCATAAATATCTAAGATTAAAATATAACTCATATCAATGTTTTCAGCATGTATATAATGAAGTGAAACATATTCTTTAGGAAATATTTTTCCCTGTCCTGTGGCACTGAGAACAGTAGGCAGGTATTCTATTTATTACTGGGTCACAGTCCCTATGCTTCTTTAGCAATACTGGTGGATTGTAACACCACTCTATATTATTTCCCAAACTGTGTTATGTTGTTACATGCCAATCAATTAAAGCTCAATATCCTATGTTAGTTCATTGGACTTGGTCTAGCTTGGAAATTAAAATACAAAAGGATAATCTATATATTATACCTTTACCTGTAACTATATATACTTAATTATAAACTTGTATTTTCAACAGGCCCAATACAGCTTAAAATCTACAAAATGAAACATTACACTAGCTTTTACTATTATACAAAAAGATTTTTTTTTTTTCTTCCTGAAACAGGGTTTCTTTGTGTAACAGCTCTGGCTGTCCTATCTTGATGTGTAAACCAGGCTGGCCTCCTAAATAAGAGATCTGCCTGCCTTTGACTCATGAGCACTGGGATTAAAGGTGTGCGCCACCACCACCTGGTAAAAGTAACTGTTATGCAAAAGAAAATCATCAGACTGTTTGATACTGTTTTGCTTTTGGTCCTAAAGTCTTCTCCCGGGCTCTTTAATTCTACTTCACAATCATGAAATTCATAAAATTTCTAAAAGCTAATTACAAAGACCAGAATATTTACAATTTTAACTCAGAAATCATAATTTTCTCAAACTTTAAATTCAAAATAATTAGAAAATGTTAGAAATGGCAACATCAGTTTAGAGGGACTTTTGTCCTCATTTAGTAATAAAATATATTACTGTATAGACCAAATCTTTCATCATGGTTGCCGAAGGGAAAAAGCACTAGTTTTGTATGGAAGCTACTGTTTAAAATATGCATACCTTATCTCTTTCGATTGCTTCCAAAAGTACCTTTCTTGATTTTGGAAGATTTTTTTGTATTTTGAAAAGATGTCGGGCTAGTTTGATAGCATAAAATGATGATTCATTATTTGATTTGGCATTCTTTATAGCATCTTGAAGCAACTGTTCAGCTTCTTCCATATTTCCATGACGTCGTTCTAAACTTACTCTTCTCAATCGAACCATTGCCAATCCTAGAACACATTCTTCAAACGTTCTCAAGATAGTTCTGGCTTCATTAATGTTCCCTAAAACAGTAATTAAATATTTATACTTTTACTTAAATTTCTAAAATAGACTTTATATATATCACTTGTTTAAATTTCTGAAATAGACTTGATACCAAGAACTGAAAAACAGTCCACAGGCTAAATCTAGGTCTCTATTTGAGGGGGTGTGGAGAGGTAATAAATAGCCATGCTTATTTTGTACTGTCTATGGCTAATCTTAGGATATGGTAAGGCTGAATTGCTAAGGAAACGACATAGCTTTTATAGAAGTTATCAAATTCTTCCTCATACATCCCTCAGTACTCAATTCCTATAATTCCATACTAACAAAGTGCTACATAAAGTATCATTGAAGGGCTGGAAATGGGCTGGAAATAAGATTCAGCATTTAGGAGCATTGGCTACTACTAAGGACCCAGGTTCACTTCTCAGCACCCACAACCATTAGTTAAGTGCAGTCCCAAAGGATCCCATGCCCTCTTCTGGTCTCTGCAAATACTTAAGCATAGACATGCATACAGGCAAAACACCCATTCACAAAAATTAATTAAAATACATCAACTGGACCTTCTCCTCCTTACCCTGCTGTTCTTCAAAAGCTGCCCAAAGCATATGTGCCATGGGTTTCTTTGGAAGATGAACAGTACAAGCTCTGCTGAAGACATGCCTCACTCCTTCAATGCTATGGTTTTCCATGTACTTGGCATACTACATACAGAAAAGAGGAAATACTGAATAATTTACAGTTGAACATGTGATTAAATATGTGACAGAACGATAAAATTCTATTTGTAAACCCATTCAGCACCTTTATTGAACCACTAGACTAGTTTCTGTAAGGAAGGACGAAGAGAGGCAACGAGGTTGGCATATGCAGCAGTCAAATCTGGTTGCAAGCAGACCATCTCCTAATGCAACAGATATAGTTATATGAACAACATTCAACAGAAGTACAAAAAAAGGTTAGTCACTAGATCAATGTTTATAATATATTCAAGTTAAACACTATATAATTTTCTTACCTTAATCCAAAACTCCTCATAGAGGGCACAAGATATGACACATCTTTCAAAGAGAACCACAACTCTTTCATGAGTTCCATTTTCAATTTCGAATTCTAAGTATTCTTTCCAGTTCTTTAGTTGGGCCTTTTCCAATGGTTTCACATGAAAATATGGTCTTTTAATCTGTTGAAAAAAAAATTACTGCATGGCAATAAATATAAACCAAAATATTTTAAGTACAATGATACAAATGATTTCAAATACAAAGAAAAAATTTTATTTTTTTTCTGGGGAGAGGAGCTTGAGAGAGAGTCTCTGTATACCAGTTTAGCCTCAAACTCCCAGGTTTGCTTGCTTCGGTCTCTCAAGTGCTGGCATTAAAGGCATATGCCACTACACCTGGCATAAAATATTTTTTTAAATTAAGTTTAATCACCATAATTTCGACAACAGAAAAGAAAACATTTTCCATTATTCGGTCTTTGTAAGCAATATACATATTTTTATTTTTACTTATGTGTATGTGTATGTGTACCTACATGAGTTTATGTGCACTACCTGCATGCAGGTATAAGTGTCCAGAGTCCAGATGGATCCTCTGAACTGGATTTACAGTTGTGAGACCCCCAACATTGGTGCTAGGAACCAAACTTGGATCCTCTATAACAGCAGCAAGCAGTCGCAGTCTTAAACCACTGAGACAACACACTAGTTTTATTTACTAATTTACATTTTTCTTTCTTTCTTTTTTTTTTTTTTTGGTTTTTCGAGACAGGGTTTCTCTGTGTAGCTTTGGAGCCTATCCTGGCACTCGCTCTGAAGACCAGGCTCGCCTCGAACTCACAGAGATCTGCCTGCCTCTGCCTCCCGAATGCTGGGCTTAAAGGCGTGCGCCACCAACGCCCAGCAATTTACATATTTTTAAAATGAACCATTTTAACATAGTTATACAGGGATAGGAATGACAATGGACAAGGAGACCATTTAAGGTAAAGGAATTATTCTTTATTTTGATTTCTAAGATAAATTATATTGTATATTCATCAAATTCTTTGACAGCCAGACACAGACAATAGACGTATAACTCCATTCATAGGCTATGCCATGAGAGGGTAATTTACAAAAAGAAAGCTACATTAAACCTTAAGCCTAGGGCTAAGGAAGCCAAGCTGCAGTTTTGTAAGTAGAATAAGAACAACTGACGAGGAAAGGCGAGACAAATGTAATCAAGTTGACCATGCTGATGGTAGTAAGTATCTGTGAACTAATGAACTGCATACTTCAAATAGGTAAACTGTTTGACATGTGACATACACCTACACAAGCAGTCAGAAAATAGTTAAATTTATAAGGAAAAAATGGAGAGGTGTGTGTATTTTTAATTTTTGAGATAGGGTTTGATGTAGTATAGACTGGCATAGAACTTAGTAGGTAACTGAAGATGACTTTTAATTTCTGAACCTTTTTATCTCTAGCTTCCAAGTGCTGAGTTATAAGATTCGATACCAAACATGGTATCGAAATGTCTAAATGTGGTGCTGGGATCAGAGATTCATGCATGTTGGGCAAGTAGTCTACAAACTGAGCTTAATCCCCACACTTAGAACAGCTGTTCTGTTGTCCATAAAGTATAACTCAATAAAGTTGATTTTTAAATGTAAGCACATTTATCAGGAATCTTGCATTTGAAATCTGAATGCAGTAAGATTCTAAACCTGGTCATGGAAAATGTTAAATACCATTGACAAGTATACCTCAAAGTTATTTACAAAAAGTAAAAAAGAGTATCTTTTTATATTTTGAGGACTTATAAAACAAAACACTTACACCTTCTTCAAATGTCCACCTCTTACTAACTTCATGCTCATTATAGTTAAACATTTCTTGATGAATTTCAATGATTCTGTGTCTCATGTTTTCTATTTCAGTAATTAGCTTGGAAAAAAAGAAAAAAAAATCTTGTAAGTTACATACTGAAAATTCTCAACAGCACACATTTAAGTATCTTCTACACATATTTCAGTCTTTATTCAGTCTTTAGTACAGAGTTTTTAATTGTTAGATGTTTATATTTTAAATATAATTTTTGTTTGTTTGCTTTGTTTTTTTTTTTTTTTTTGGTTTTTCTGTGTGGCTTTGGAGCCTGTCCTGACACTCACTCTGTAGACCAGGCTGGCCTTGAACTCACAGAGATCTGCCTGCCTCTGCCTCCCAAGTGCTGGAATTAAAGGCATGCGCCAGCAACACCCAGCTTGCTTTGGTTTTGGAGACAGGGTCTGTGTACATATAGCACTAGTTGTCCTAGAACTCATATGGAGACCAGAGTGTCTTAGACCTAACAGAGATCCACCTGACTCTGCCTTTTAAGGGCCACCACACCCACCTTTAAATATGATTTATAAAAGCCAATTTCTGCTGGGCAATGGTGGTGCATGCCTTTAATCCCGGCACTCAGGAGGCAGATCTCTGTGAATTCAAGACCAGCCTGGACTACAAGAGCTAGTTCCAGAAGAGCCTCCAAAGCCACAGCCACAGAGAAACCCTGTCTCGAAAAACAAAACAAAAAAAAGAGAGCCAATTTCTTATGTTTTTTTGAAAATAGGGATAGATAGGAATAGTAAAATATTTTTTCCTAAAGTAAATTACTTCCAGATGTCTCATGGTTATAACTTTCTCCTTTAAATTCACACTTAAATCATACTGACCTAAATGTCCACAACTTATCACCTTTCCACATATGCTACCTAGCTTCTTACACACTGAACATATGATTTAAAAGGTTACCTTTGCTGGATCAGTTATGTCTTCAATTCCTGATGGAAGGTCATCACCAGGAGGTCCATCATCACCACTGTGTCCATTTACAGAAGCTAATTCCCTTCTCAGTTGAATGAACTGTTCCTCAGTTAAAAGATCTCTAGGCAAGTTATTCTGTACATGTTCTTTAAATCTAAAGGAAGAATTAAAACACACACGTCAGATACCTCCTACATATTACTCCTTCAAATAAGTAGAGAAACAAATTAAAATATCCTAACATTTCTTTCTTTGTATTAAAGTTCTACCACTTAATGATATATAGTTTCCACTCTGTCTTTGCAGTGCAATGTAGAGAACAGGTACGTAAATTCCAACTCTGTGATTATTTGATTTTTCTCTTCTCCCAATCTAAAAACAGAAGATATCTACTTTGCAAATTTAAGTAAGACATAACTAATTCACACTAAAACTGTAAAGCAATCACGAAATGTTTCCATTATCATCCCCCCTACCAATTACTTATCCACACATTTCTGTTTAGCAACCTAATGACATTGGCTTAATTAAGGCCACCAATTACCATACATGCAAAATTAAATTGGTATTTGTTCTCTAGTACACTCTATCTTCAACATCTGAGGCTGCTAACCATGTCTTCTTACTTTTAGAATCTTCGTCACAGCTTGGTTTCTGAGGTATCACCAATTCCTTGGTTTTCCTCCAAGTCTCTTTACGATTGCTGTTGGATCTCTCTTGGTTCCCCATTACTACCTGCCCTTAAGGTTATGTACTTTCTGGCTAAAGTCACTAACAGAGCTGATAGTAGCATTCCCCAGGGCTTGCTGGCCAGCTAGCCCAGCTAATGGATAACCCCTAAGTCAGTGTGATACTGTCTCAAAACATAAGGTAAAGAGTGATCAAGAAAAACACAGGAGGGCTGAAGAACATTGGCTGCTTGATCTTCCAAAGGACTCAGGTTTGACTCCCAGCATCCTAACTGTACTTCCAGTTTCATAGGCATCAGGAACCTATGTGGTACACAGACACACATGCAGATAAAATACACACATAAAATAAAAAAATATCTAAAAGAAAAACACAAGACTTCAGTCCCTCAGCCTCTGACAAACACATACATATTTTCCCACAAATCTGAAAAAAAAAATTGCTGAGTGTGGTAGTGTATATCTTTAATCCCAGCCCTTGAGAGGCAGAGGCAGGCAGAGCTCTGTGAATCCAAAGCCAGCCAAGTCTACAAATTAAGGTCCAGGCCAGCCAGATTTAAACAGTGAGACCTTAATCTCAAGAAAAAGTAGAACAAAACCAATCAAGTTGCCAACAAAAGAAACAAAAAATTTCATTTATTGGGCTAGAAAGATGAATCAAAAGTTAAGAACACTTGCTGGTCTTGCTTGCTTAGGACTGAAGTTCATTTCCTAGCACCCACATGGCAGCTCACAATTGCCTAAAACTCAAATTACAGGTACCTGCAGAGGCAGGTACCAAGTACACATGGCACACATACATAGGTATAGGTAAAATATTCATATAATACACACAAATCATAAAATAGTAAATTTATTTATTCTTGGGAGGGGGGCAATTTGAAGGCCAGGGAGCAACAATGACAGTTCATGCTCTTCTTCCAAAAGTAGGTACTAAGGATTGAACTCAGGTCATCAGGCTTAGTAGTAAGAACCTTTACCCACTGAGCCATAGTGCCAGACCACATATATTCAAGCTTAAAAACCTAACAGGTCCCAGCACTTGGGAGGCAGAAGCAGGTTAATCTCTGAGCTCAAGTCAGCCTGGTATAAAGCATGAGTTCTAGGACACTCGGGGCTACACACAGAAACCCTGTCTCAAAAAATCAAACAAAAATAAAACCTAGCAGGATACTCATTTGAAAAAAAGATTTGGGGGGTGGGGGGAGTGGAAAGAAGGCTCACCATTATCATAAAATATCAGAGTCCAGTCCCCAGTACCCATGCTAGTTGGCTCACAGCCATCTCTAATTCCAATTCCAAGGGATCTGATGCCCTCTTCCATACTCCAAACAGACAACTGCACTCATGTACACAAGCCACAATCTATATATATATTATAAATATATAGAACATATAGAATATATAAAAATCTGGGGCTGGAGAGATGGCTCAGGGGTTAAGAACACTGACTGTTCTTCTAGAGGTTCTGAGTTCAATTCCCAGCAACCACATGGTGGCTCACAACCATCTGTAATGTGATCTGGTGCCCTCTTCTGGCATGTACTATATACATGATAAATAAATAAATAAATCTTAAAAAAAAAAAGAATATATAAAAATCTAAAGATCTGGAAGAACTGAGAATATAGCTCCGTTGCAAATAAAGAAAAGCACACATTTAAAAAAATTGAAGGCTGTCTGAAGGACATTATCTCATTCCCAGAGGATTTTTCTGTTTCCAGGTAATCGTGAAATGAGGAGCTTTGGAAACCATGTACTTCCCAACAGCACGTTCTGCTTCAACTAAGGCATTGAAGTAAGCCAAATGACCATGGGCAGCTACTATTGACAGTTAATGGTTTCTGGGAAAAAGTCAGTTTTCTCTAAGTATGGCTGGTTGCTAGTAGGTTGACCAGCTAGTGGATGACTTAACACACCATGAGTGTATAGGTTATGTATTAAGAAAATAATACAAAATAAAACAAAACTACACACACACACACATTACAGTTAAGAACAGTAGGGAGATTAACGGATAAATATGATTAAAATACAACGTATGAAACTCTCAAAAATTATAAAATATAAAAAAGCAACTGTTTCAGCAACAGAAAGCTAGCATTTCCTTAATAAAGGTCTTGCAAACATAAATGTCATCGCATTTTAAACAAGAATTGGTCTATAAAAATCCTTGTCTTTGATCTTCACTTGTACAACATGCATATTTATCAAATACCAAGTCTTGTGCTAATTATTTACAACTTACTTCATTATATCCTAGAAACCTGTCTACCTGCTCTAACTCATCAATAGAGATAGGACACTGACCTACAATGTCTCTGCTTACATTTTTCTTTCTAGTTCCTATTCCAGCACAAGTCCATGTAACTTCTATTTTTAGCAAATTTATCTATAGTAGTTTACAAATATTTTATTACACTTAATTGTAAAATTCATATCATGTAAAACTTTCAATATACAACCTTACACATAACAATTAACAAAAATCCACAAAATAGCTTAGTGTGGTGGTATACACATGTAATCTCAGCACACAAGGTGAGACAGGAGAATCAAAAGTACAAGGCTAGCTGAAACAGTCTCAAAAGAAAACGACTCCACATGAAGTACATGTTACTTACACTCATACTAAGGAGTTAAAAAAAGAAAAAGAAAACAGCAAAGACACAATCTCATTCACTTTCTGGGTTCTGATCAGTGGGATACCTTGCAGCAGGAAAAGACACATGGAGCTGAGCATTGTGGCACACACCCGCCAACTACAGGACTCAGGAAGCACAGGAAGGAAGAGATGCAAGGTCAAGGCACACCGGTGCCACACAGTAAGTCCTAGGCCAGCTAGAGCTACCTAGCAAGACCCTATCTCAAAAGAAAAAAGAAAACAAAACCAAAACTAAACATGGAAACCACAGTACACAGCACAGAAATTTTAAATACTTGTAACGATCTTGAAAAGTTATTTATGATGCATAACCAGATAATCAGGGTGTAAAATTTTAATGGGATGAAAATAATTTGAATAGGGAGAGAAAGAAGTTAACACCCATACTGCAATCTTTACTGTACATAAACATATGTTTGTGAACATCAGGAATGTACATTTTATAAATCATTAAGCTGTAAAAATAAAATAAAGAGCTAGCCAAACCCCTTATGTCTATTATCCTGAGATGCTGAATGAGAAGGATTAAAGACTCTAGGCCAGCAGAGGAACACAGAAACACACTATCTCAAAAAATTAATATAAAAAAAGCACTTATTATTTGCCAAGTACCATATGAATTTAGTATTACAAAAAAATCATTTATAAAACACTATATCTCATTTCTTCACCGTTCTAAAGTACCTCAGATACAAAATGGACAAGAATAACTTTCAATATAAAACTAGTATATTAAACATTTCATAAGATACAGAAAAAATGACTAAATTAAGACATAAATTTTTATTCTCTAGAAAATTAGTTTCCTCTAATAAGATCCTATATAACATTTCAAAATAAACTGTAATGCTCAATATTGGGAACTGATCACCTACATAACCAAAGATATTTCAAAGAAAAGATCTTTCAACATACCTCTGGAAATGATGACTGTAGAGCTGCGTTGGAATACCAAGAATACGATCATACACAGCTGTAACTTCTCTCAGATTGCCCTGTTCATTTTCCCAGTTTATATACATTTCCCATAGTTTGTCAGATCGAAAATCTGTTCCTGCAGCTAGAACAGCATGCTCAAAAGTTCTGAAAAATTAAATTGCTGTTAAGTTATCTTCCCCAAATAAAATAACTCCTAAATATTATTATTTAATTGCTTCCTAGTCATGCATGAACGGAAAAAGTAGAAGCAATCATAGAACAGTTGCTTAAAGGAAGAATAAGTGAAAAAACAAAAGGAAAAGATAAGTGCAGTTTACCTTATACATAATTACAAGGTATAATGTACACATTTCAAAGAAGTAATAGGAACATGGTAGATGAAGTACTTGTTATGTATTTGAAATGTCAAATATAATGATTCCTTTAGAATAGAGAAAACTGAAGAATTTACAAACTGTATCTCAATTCGAGGATTTCTCTAGCAAAAATGCCTGAACAAGGGACTCAAACTATATATATAAACTCATGAGAAGTATGCATAGAATTTAGAACTATCAAAACCACCTTTCAATTCTAAAAGTTGATTGTGGGAGCACTTTTTTTTTTAATGGTATTTAGCTAAATTTCAAGAGATACCTGTTTATTATTAGATTTGATGTTTAATAAACAAAACCTCAGGACTAGAGAGATGGCTCAGGAAGTTAAGTGCTAACTACATAAATGTGAGAATAGAATTAAAATGTCCAAAACCCTTGTAAATACTAGGTGATGGCATGGCAGCCTGGCCATAATCAGAGCAGTAGGAAAGCCAGGTAGCTTAAATAACCTAAGTGGCAAGCTCTGGGTTCAACTGAGAGATTTCCACTGCAGTGAATAAGTCATCAAGTAACTAAGAGAAACACCTGAAAAGTCAACTCTGGGATCCCACACATATACACTCAGGGTACAACATGAACATTACAATAAGACAAAAAAACACTTTTTGGTACATAGTTTCAAAATAAGCATCTTAAAACCAAGTAAGGGCCAGTGAGATAGCTCAACAGGTAAAGTAACTTGCCAGCAGCAAGCCTGAGGACTGGAGCTCCATCCTCCAGACTTGCACAGTGGAATTCTCACAAGCTCACGGCCTACAGTACACACTGTCCCCATATACATACAATCAGAAGTTTTAAAATGTTATAAAATTTCAAGTGAAAAACAAAACAACTAGGTGCATTTATACCAAAGAGGCCATATTTCCTAAATTTATCTTTTAACACAATGTCTAATTTAGGCAAAACAGACAGTTCAAATTTTATAGTCTTAGAACTACAAATGTTTTTATATAAGGATAAGGCAGTAAGCATTTCCTGAAATTATCATAAGAAATTAAGACATAGTTTCCTGGATGCTTAGCAAAGACATGGTATGCATATATGTATACAAATAAACATTAATTCACACAAAACAAAAATATATTTTTAAGCAGATTAGTGTCCAAGAAAAAAAACAGAAAAGTGAATGTGTGAGAATTTAATGTACATAAAGGGGAGCATTTTTTTTTTTTAAATTTTATTTATCTTCTTTTCTGTTCTTCTAGACAGGGTTCCTCTGTGTAACAGCTCTAGCTGCCCTAGAACTCACTTTATAGACCAGGCTGGTCTCAAACTCACAGAGATCTGCTTGCCTCTGCCTCCTGAAGTGCTAGCATTAAAGGTATGCACAAGGGAGGCATGTTAAATCAACAAAGAAAGCCTGGACTATTTAGCAAAAAGGAATGATAAAATGTGCATTCCACAATAGCCAGGTAAATAATAGAAAAGCATTTAAAATTAAAGTACAGAGCTTAAGAGATGGCTAGCAGTTAGTTTTGATTTTCAGCACACTTAAGGTGGCTCCATCGTGTGACTCTAGTTACAGGGGCTGCAATATCCTTTTATAGCCTCCACACACACCAGGCACATATACATTGTAGACATACATGCAAGCAAACCACCATAAACATAAAATAAAATCTTAAATTAAAAATACAGAATTTAATACTCTTGGTAATAAAGACACAGAACTCAGAATCCAATAACTTAATTTTTAAATATAGGACTCATCATGTAGCCTTAGCTGGCCTGGAATACACTACGTAGACCAGCCCTACTCCAAACTCACAGAGATCTGCCTGCCAGAGTGCCAGGATTAAAGACGAGCCATCTCGGCTGTCAGGACTGAATGTTTTAATATATTAAGAAAAAAACTATAATAAACACCAAACAAAGTTTACTACTTTTCTTTATAAACACTTTTAGTATTTCTATTGGTGTGTGTGTGTGTGTGTGTGTGTGTGTCTGTCTGTCTGTCTGTCTGTCTGTCTGTCTGTCTGTCTGTCTGTCTGTCTGTCTGTCTGTCTGTCTGTCTGTCTGTCTGTCTGTCTGTCTGTCTGTCTGTCTATATGACTATGAGTATATACAGAGTCCAGAATGGGGGCACTGGATATCCTGGACCTGTATTTACAGATGGTTGTGAAACACCACATGTGGATACTGGAAACTAAACTTGGGTCATCTGAAAAAACACCATGTGCTTTTAACCAGTAAGCCCCTTTACCATGCACAAAACAAAGTTTAAAAACATTAATACTGGAAGAAATGTTTACTATACAAAGATAAATCTAACAAGGCCAAGTGAGTACATGCACGAGTACGCACGTTAAAAGAGTTGGGCAGTGGTGGCTCACGCCTTTAATCCCAGCACTGAGGAGGCAGAGGCAGGCAGATCTCTTGTGAGTTAGAGGCCAGTGAGTTCCAGGACAGGCACTAAAAGCTACTGAGAAACCCAGTCTCAGGGAAAAAAAAAAAGAAAAAGAAAAAGAAAAAGAAAAACAGTATTACTACCCAAGAACAATCTCAGTGTATCCAGAAAATTACCAGATACCACAAAAAGCTGGGGAAAGAAAGATAACATAATAGAGAATGGTTAGATGGAGGTCTGCTTAATCTATGGTGGGCAACAGGCTGATCAGTTGCTCTTCCTCTAAAGAAATTGCTTAGTGTAAACCTTAGACCAACAGGATTCCTCAAAAAAAAAAAAAAAAAAACGGAATGGCTTTTAAATAACTTTTTATTTCAAGTATTCTTTATGAAGAAGCTACTGGCTATACACTTCTTACAAGGTAGGCATAATCAAGAAAGAATAGGACAATAAACAACAGAGCCTGAATAAAGCAAAGGCATTTCTTGGATCCATGGTGATGAGAAAAATCCAAAAACTTTATGGCAGGACTAGATGACAGCATAGACTATACACTGGAGAAGAAAGACAGCTACAAAAGGGTGAGGGGAAAGAAAAATAAGATTTAAATTTTATTAACAGGCCTGTTTGGAAAGCTATATGAAAAGCCTTCTATTAGACAAATGAGAAACATGGTTGAGTGAGAAGTAGTTAACCCCAGGGAAAATAAGACTATTAAAGATGAATATGATGAAAAATAGCCACAGTCTCAAAATGACTAAAATATATACACATAATAAACAGATTTACTGAAACCTATCCTGTAGGTATCCTGAAAAAGAAACAGGAAAACAGGATATATGCATGTATTCCCTTTTTTTTCCCTTTGGTTTTTCAAGACAGGGTTTCTCTGTATTGCTTTAGAGCCTGTCCTGAAACTCACTCTGTAGACCCAGGCTGGCCTCAAACTCACAGAGATTGGCCTGCCTCTGCCTCCTAAGTGCTGGTATTAAAGGTGTGTGTCACCAACACCCAGTTCACATATATTCTTTATAAAAGCGGCAAGTGCTCTAAACTGCTGAGCCATCTCTCCAACCCTAATATACCCATATTAAAAGAAAGTTATTGGGGCTGGGCGGTGGTGGTACATGTCTTTAATCCCAGCAGATCTCTGAATTCGAGGCCAGCCTAGTCTACAAGAGCTAGTTCGAAAAACAAAAAAAGGAAAAAGGAAAAGAAAGTTATTGGGGCTGGAGAGATGGCTCAGAGATTAAGAGCACTGACTGCTCCTCCAGCGGTCCTGAGTTCAATTCCCAGCCACCACATGGTGGCTCACAACCATCTGTAGATCTGGTGCCCTATTCTGGTGTGTATGCATACATGCAGGCAGAACACTATACTAACAAATAATAAATAAATCTTAAAAAAATTATCATGGGGGAATGATTACTTTCATATATTTGTGGAAGTGTAAAATTGAGGAATGTTAGTTAAAATGTCTTTGTTAGATAGAACAGATGTTCTATTTTTAGTGCATTCCATAAAAATATACATTCAGAGACAATTTTGCAAAATTATTTCCTATGATAAAAATTTGTACAAATAAAAACATGACTTTAACATATTTTTTGCAAGTTAAAAAAATGGGAGATATTATATAACATTCTGGAAAATAAAAACAAGGTGAAGAACAGTCTGTAAAATTCACAAATTTGTACACTATATAACATCTGGAGGCAGACATTAAGACATTAACTGTGGAGCTGGAGAGATGCTCAGTGGTTAAAGCACTTGCTCTTCCAGAAAACCCAGGTTCAATTCCCAGCACCCACATCAAAGCCCACAACTGTCACTAACTCCAATTCAGGGGATCCAATGCCCTCTCTGGCCTCTTGGGGCACCAGGCACACAGGTAGCATACAGACGTAACATGCAGACATGAAAACAAAAAGCTAATAAACTGCCTTAGCCCCGAAGTGGTGGTGCACACCTTTAATCCCAGCACTGAGGAAGCAGAGGCAGGAGGATCTCTAAATTTGTGGCCAGCTTGGTCTACAGAGTGAATTCCAGGGCAACAAGGGCCACACAGAGAAACCCTATCTCAACACCCTCTCCCACCCCAAAGACATTAATCACAAGTGAGCAACAAGTAAACTTATAAACTAGACACATAAGTTAAGGGGATGTGGGAAAGAGGAAGATTGCATTTTTTTTTTTAAGATTTCATTTATTTATTATGTATACAACATTCTGCTTCCATGTATATCTGCACACCAGAAGAGGGCACCAGATAGGCCGGGCATTGGTGGCACACCCCTTTAATCCCAGCACTCGGGAGGCAGAGGCAGGCAGATCTCTGTGAGTTCGAGGCCAGACTGGGCTCCATAGTGAGTTCCAGGATAGGCTCCAAAGCTACACAGAGAAACCCTGTCTCAAAAAACCAAAAAAAAAAAAAAAAAAAAAAAAAGGGCCCCAGACTCACACACAGAGGATTGTGAGCCACCATGTGGTTGCTGGGAATTGAACTCAGGACCTCTGGAAGAGCAGTCAGTGCTCTTAACCTCTGATAAAGAGTAAGTTTATTTCATGTACTACTTTTTTAGTAACAGGAATGAAGCAAATAAATATCAACTTCCAGTTTAGTATTTATGAATAGTTCTCTGAATACTTAAATGTCTAAGTCTTCAAATACATTAAGTATCAAATATTTAACATACCCTCTTATTGTACCGTTTGTCTCAGGATCACCAGGGTCCAATGTTTCTTTTAAGAAGTTTATATAATGTATCCAAAGATCAACACTAAGAGGTATTGCCTGAAGCCCCCGTCGATAAACCTAAGAAGAAAACAATAAACTGTACCTCAAATATTTAATTACTTCTTAAAAGAGAGGCAACACTGTGTTATCCGGTGAACCTTAGAAATACTAATTACTGGAATTTTGTTTAAATAATCTACCATTACCATTTGGGTGGAGGTTGGATAGAACATGGCAATGTTCTGATCCCCACGTGCAGAGTCTTGATCTTCAAAGCGCAGCAGTCCCTGCATTCTGACCGGGTTGTGTGGGCAGGCTTTGGGTTACAGACCATAGGGCACAGACCCATTAGAGCATCAATGACAGCGTCTGACCAAAAATGCAATAAGACGTAGCAAACGTGACTAGCAAACCAACTATATTGTTTGGAAATTGAGAAATAAATGTAAGTGAGAGAAAAGCCCTGCCCTACTTGTTAAGCTGCAGTGTAATACAGAGGCTTGCACTGCAAAGCTTGACAAACTGTAGAGGTTTAACGCACCTGCCAACAAAGAGAGAAAATATTAGCTACAAATGCCACAATAGTGACAAATGCAAATAAAATACCCTATAAAAAAAAGTTTGATCATAAATGGTAGGTACTGCCAGCCAGAAAAAGAGAGTCTGTTTGTTATTAATTGGCTTACAGTACCTAACAGAGAAAACTGTATTCATTGATGTACGCACCTCGTCTGATTGTTTAATGTTGTCATGTCGTTTTTCAAGGTCAGCATACTTTTTCCAGTAACCATAGCAATATGGGTAATGTATGAAAAATTTGTCAAATGCTTTTCTGGCAGCCGTCAAGTGATTCTGATGAAAATAAAACAAGGTGTTTAAACATCTTAGAACTTTTCATCAAAGAAAGAATAAATACTAACTTTGTCAAATAGTAGGGTAGCTTCTTTGTTTTCCAGAGCTGGGGACCAAACCCAGGATCTCACAGATGCTGCTAGGCCAGTGTGCTCCACCTCACTGAAGTGCATTCTCGTATCCCCAAGGTAACTATTTCACTAATTTTACATACCCACACACAAACCTCAATTATTACACAATATTTAGCATTGTGTCTACATACTTTGCACAACGCATAATGCTATATAATTTTCAAAGCTAAAATACATGCTTCTTTTTAGTATTATTGAACTCAGCCCGAGGATCATTAAGAGATTAAACTTTAGTTACAAAACAGAAAGCCATGAATTGATGATACTACTGTATTATTCTGACCCTCTTATACAGACCATTTAAATAGTTACTAACCTCCTGTTCTACGTACTGAAGCAAATATACCCAGCCTGTAAAATCCTGAGGATTAGTTTCTACTGTTTTCCAAAATTTTTCAAATTCTGGAGGGAAGTTTCCTTCTGTTTCTGTCACTGGAAGGTCCACAGCATTTGCCATTTCATTTTCTTCTGTAGATGCATTCACGCTGGGAGAACCATCGGGTGATTGCTCCATCTCTGTAACGTTCATAATCTCAGTACTAAAATCTGGATGTTCTACTGCTACCTCTGAACTGTTGCCTGTGCTGCCATTATCAGAGTTTCTGTACTCATCCATGTGAGAATTTTGCATAGCTACTTATTTGGTCTTCAGTGAATGATCTGCAGAAACACACACATACACAAAAGAGAAACAGATTCCAAATGCTAGTAAACTTATTTATCATGACCAAAAATTTTTTCTGTAGATTTACCTTTTCATTTTATGTGCACAAATGTTTTGCCTGCATGTATGTGTATCATGTGCAAGCTTAATCCCCAAGGTCAGAAGACAATGCTGGATCCCCTGGAACTAGAATTACAAATGGTTATGAGCTACCATGTGGGGGTCAGGACCTGAATCTGGATCTTCTGGGAGAGGAGCAAGTGTTCTCAAACACTGACCCATGTCTCCTGCTCCACACTTTTTAAATCCCTATCTGCCTACTAAAAACATAAACAGGAGAACTAGTACATTTTACTAATTTATCTGTTTACAAATAATAGAAATTCTATTGATAATAACCATCAATCCTCCTGCCACAAAGTACCTGGGATTACAAGCACGTTCTACAAGGCCAGACACACCTGGCAATAACTAGTTAAGTTGTGCCCAACCTTTTGATATTGTTATAGCTGTTATCACCTACAAAGATAATACTGGAGAACCCTGCACCTGAGTTAACCACTCCTTCCCCCAAATTTAAATCACACAAAGTTTTAAGTAAGTCTACTATTTGTGTTAGACCGCTAGCTATCTCCAGACACATATGGTCCTCAAGACCATACTCTGTACACATCTAAAAGAAATTTATGCAACAGGAATTGTGTTAGCATCGGGTCTCAACTTTGGGTTGCGACCTCTTTGGGGGCTGAACAACCCTTTCACAGGGGTCATCTATTGAAAACAAAGAGAATTACATTTCCATTCCTAACAGTAATAAAAGTAGTTATGAGGTAGCAACAAAAATAATTTTATGGTTGGGAGTAACCACAACATGAGTAACTGTATTAAAGGGTTTCAGAATTAGGAGGACTGAGAAGCACTGTGAAGCTTACAATTGTCAATGTTGGCACCTAATTTTCTTGGTTAATTTCTACTATTTCATTAGACAGAAGCTGTTTAAAGAAATGCTCAAAATCAAAGAGGAAGAAAATGAATGGCAGAAGTACACTAGTTAAAACTGTCCTTTTCTAATGAGAAAAGCAAGTTTTCCCAGAGCCCTTACAGCATTTACAGCCTCCTAATCCCTTACCTGGATTAGGTACACTGCCTCTTGACAAAATGAGTTTTCTCCGAGTAAAGATAATGTAAGAGGCATAGTGAATAGGTAACTCTTGTCCACCAGATATCACGTAACTCTTCAAGAGATACTAAGCATAACCCCAGATCTTTATTTTTCCTTTGATCCAGAAGTTCGAGTCAGTATTTGCCCACATTTTTACACATCCATGTGTATGACTGAACAGATGTACAGCACCATATGTGTGCAGGTGCCTGGGATCAGAGAGGGCACTGAATATCCTGGAACTTTAGTTACAGTCAAGCAGTGAGCCACCGAACATGGGTGCTAGGAACCAAACCTGGTTTCCCTTACAAAAGCAGCAAGCACTCTTCATTCACATTGCTATTGTAATAATTACTATCTCTCCTACACATTTGTACTGAATTGTGTTACATAAAGTCCAGCCAGTTTGAGCTATATAGAAGACCCTGTATTTGGGATGCAGAGGTGGTTCAGGTTTTTATAGCATCTACGATTTTCATGGTAGGCTGCTCATAACTGCCTTCAACTCTATCTCCATGGGGTATCCCACATTTCTGGCCTCCATACCCACCTGACTGACATGCAAATACCACTACAGACATATACACACAGAGGAAGAAGTAAGAAAACGAACAGTATATACTGAAATACACAAACAATTCAACACCCATTTTGGGTGCAGTACAAAAAGTGGCACACGCCTTTAATCCCAGGACTCAGGAGGCAGAGGCAGGGGGATCTCTGTGAGTTCGAGGCCAGCCTGCTATACAGAGAGAGTTTCAGGACAACCTCCAAAGCTACAGAGGAACCCTGCCTCAAAAATAAGTTAAAATACTGCACTGCCCGACTATTGATACAGATGAACAAATCTTACAAGATAGATTATTAAATTTAGGGAGGAAGGAACTTTGTTTTGCTCAATGTTGTATCCCTAGAAACCCTTGAACAGATGACATATCCAGTCCTGACTTGGCAAAATGGTATTCCTCAGAGTAATAAAACTCTTCATTCCACAACTCAACACGCTAATGATTTACTAAGCATACTTTCATATGCTATGACATTTTCTTATAAAATGATATCGATGGCAGACTCAAATATGTGAGGTTAAAAACCTAAGTATATATTACATGGAAACACTCCCTCTATACTGTAAATTCAACTGTTTATTTTATTTGGAGCCTATTAAATAAATACTTGCCTAACAATCAGGATGCTATTTTAAAAATTAAAAGGAATTTCAGAAAATGACTTACAATGATGTAAACTCAATAAACATTATGCATATGACCCAACAATTTTTCCCCTGATGCTTTGCATGCCTATGCTCACAGAGGCATAAAAAACACGATCTATCATTGATTGTTACCATAAACCACGTAAGTAATATATATAAACTGAAGTCATTAGTTAACTAGCTAGCTGGCTTTACAATCCACAAATTACTCCATGTCTCAGCCACAGATGAGTCATCTGAATACCTCTTAGAAGAAAGGGGTTATTATAACAAGTGGTTTTGGCAACCGGTTTTTAGAGACTAAGTAGGATGTTCACAGGCAGACCTTGTTTCCTCATTTTAAACAATCATGTCCCAGAAACTGAATTCTGTTTATATATTTACAATGTCTGCATAATCTTCTGAGCTTATGCCTTACACGGAATTCTTAACACATTAACAGAAGATTCTGCTCCTCCTTGAAAATACACAAATCTGATTTTTTTTTTTTTTTTTTTTTTTTTTTTTTTTGGTATTTTGAGAAAGGGTTTCCTTGTGAACAACTGGAGCCTATCCTGGCACTCCCTCTGGAGCCCAGGCGGGTCTTGACCTCACAGAGATCCGCCTGTCTCTGCCTGCCGAGTGCTGGGATTAAAGGCGTACGCCATCAACGCCCGGAACAAATCTGAATTTTACACTTGATACACAACATATTTTTTTTCCTCAATCCAACTGTAAGACAGAAATATTACTAAGTATCGAGTCTTTTAAAAATTCTGGGGCCTACAAAATGGCTCAGCAGGTAAAGGGCACTAGCCGCCATGCCTTAGAGGAACAGTGGAAAGTTCCACATTTTTAAACTCTAGAATGAAGTTATAAACATGAGGGGAGGAAGGGATTTAACAGTTGTTATTTTTCTCAAAAGTCTTAAAAGACTGCCATGGAGTACAAAGCACCAAGTTCCCACCCTAAGCTGCCTTGGAAGAAGCATTCTTGGCGTTACCCTTTCCAGCCCCTGAAAACTTTTATAGTATTTCTGAATACGTGAGTTTTCTGGTGTAAGTTCTCGAACAGAAGGGACATCTGAAACATTCTGCATCACTACTAAGACCGTACCCAGAACCGTGCGGGCTCCTGATCACGATTGTTTAAAAAGGATTCCACCAGGCTCTTTCACGTGTCTGTCCTTCCGTCCGTCCGCCCCTTCCCCTCCCCCAGACGCCTGCCTACCGTATCTGTTTTGCAGTGACCGATGTTCTGGCCCTCAGGAGCCCCTCCACTTCCTGTCGCCCCGGCCACGCCGTGTTCCCCGGGGCCAGGGAGGCACAGGATTCAGCCCCAACGCTAAGCTAAGCGGGCTCGCAGAGCCAGGCTGAGGCTCGCTCCCCCCCCTCCCGCCGCACCCCTCCAGCCCAGCTC